TTTTTAATGGTTTTTAACAGTTGGATAATTACTTTTTTATTTGAGGAAGAAAGACTTCAGTACCATTAAACTCCCTGAGAATCTTCCCTCAAGATATTGCATAGCTGCCATCCAAAAATTGGAAGTTCCGCTGTATCCAAAAATCAAGGTCATGGCCAGTGTGCGCAGTCGATCATAGAATCATAGAACTGTAGAGTTGGAAGGGACCACAAGGTTCATCTAGTCCAACCCCCTGAAATGCAGGAATCTGTTGCCCAGCGTGGCAGAAGAGTGGGCAAGTTGTTGCTGTAAATACTATTGTTGTGCCCTTCCCCAATACAAAATCCAAGAGAAAAGCAAAGAATTCAGTTTCAGAAGAAGCAGATTTCTGCTGATTTTCAGAAGCCTTGAAAAGATCCAGAATAAATTAGATTATCCTGCTGGTGCAAATAATTTCTTATAGGTCAGTGTGTGTGTGTTTGTGTGTAGATATACTGCAAAATGTTTTTCCCTAGTCTGTGTGGTTTAAGTTGTTGTAACGATTACCATGATAATGTAATATGAAGTACTTTGAATATTTATTTATTTTGTAACCCACTCGTCAGTGTTCGCATACCCCCTATGTGAGGAACAATGTCAACATACAAAAAAAGTCATTTAAATAAAACTTAATATAAAACCAAACAATATCCCAACAACGTAACTACATCAGCCAAGTATTGGTGCTGGTCACATGGGAGAAAGAAAGACATTCCAGCGTCAGGGTGCTACTACTGAGAATGTCGTCTCATGAAGTTGCCACGTACCATATCTCAGTGAACTGTGGTGGTGTGAGAAAGGGTTTACTGGATGACCTCAGTCACGGCAGGTGGATAAGGGAGCAGGCGATCTTTCAGGTATCTGTGACCTGAGCCATCTACAGTGGTGTCGCCATTGTGAGTAATTGGGACTATAAGGCATGCTTGCATTTAATGCAACATTGCAAGCAAATGGCACAGGTTCTGCATTGCTACATACCTAGGGGGATGCGGGTGGCGTTGTGGTCTAAACCACTGAGCCTCTTGGGCTTGCTGATCAGAAGGTCGGCAGTTCAAATTCTCGTGATGGGGTGAGCTCCCATTGCTCTGACCCAGCTCCTTCCAACCTAGCAGGTTAAAAGCACACCACTGCAAGTAGATAAATAGGTACCGCTGCGGCGGGAAGGTAAACTGTGTTTCCATGTGCTCTGGTTTCCGTCACGGTGTCCCCTTGCACCAGAAGCGGTTTAGTCATGCTGGCCACATGACCCAGAAAGCTGTCTGTGGACAAATGTCAGTTCCCTCGGCCTGAAAGCAAGATGAGCGTCACAACCCCATAGTCGCCTTTGACTGGACTTAACCATCCAGAGGTCATTTGCCTTTACCTTATTTACCTATCTGAAAGACCTATTCCCTCATACGAAACCTATCCAGGTTTTCCGATCACACATTTTCAGGTATATCTTTTTAGTCATAAGGGCTAGAAAGTTATTTAAAACAAAAAACAAAAATGGAAGCTGAATTCTGCACTCAGCACCACCAACTTGTGTGTTTTTCCTCTCCACTCTGAGAGCCATCATGACATACACGCAGCCCAGGCTATAACTAGCTGTCTCCCTCTGAACAAGTGTTGCAGCTATTAGTGCATCAGCGAGACATATTTTTCCTTTAGAGTCATTCTTTCAAAGCCTTTTTATTTCCTTATTAGTAATTTGTGACTTGACTGGAATGTTTTTGGCCGCTCCTGTGTTTTGTTGCTGCTTCTGAAACAAAATCCAGATCCTGAAATACCAAATAGCGATAGGTTTGAAAATAACGGAAGGGACTTTTTCATAGTAAGCAAACTGTGCCTTTTCTGTTCACGTAGCAAATATGTACTGGCTGTTCGGTGTTTGTGAAGTACAAATTGTCCTGCCTGAGCATGTGTTTTGCTTTCTTCAGCACCATCTCCGAATTCCCAACAGATCCTTTGCTGATGTTAGCAAAGCATCTCCTCCCTGCTCCGGTACAAAGCTCCTAGCCAAAAACTTTATCCTGACTTTTAAAGATGAACTCACCCATGCGCATTACTTACAAAACAGGATGGGAGCAAAAGCTTTCCTGGGGAAAGGATGTTGTTTTCTGATACCCTGAAAGCACAATTGCTTTCCAGGGGGTGTTGCTATTACGTTACTTGTTTTAGATCAATTGCCCATTTACGGCTTGTTCAAAAATGTTCTGCACGAAGGCTGAGCTGACGCAGCCTACTTAATTGTGTGTTTACTTCCGTGAGTGCCAAAATACATCTTGCATTTTTGACACTTTGGAACGTATTTGCAAAGTTGCTGTGCTACCCCCCCCCCGTTTTGTCTTTGCCTTCATAGTTATTATTGCCTGTTGTTAGTACAGTGGTACCTCGGGTTACAGACGCTTCAGGTTACAGACTCCGTTAACCCAGAAATAGTACCTCGGGTTAAGAACTTTGCTTCAGGATACAAGCCATTTTTTTCTGAGCCACATCCTCACAAAGCAACATAAAGGAAAGGATACAAAGATGCAGTATATATACAATATACATATTCAGTGCTCTTTTCCCCCCTTAAAAAATGTTTAGGGGTACTCTCATTTTGACTCAAGAAAATCACCATTTTATAGTTCAAATTGGGAAAAATAAATATAGTAAATGGACAAAAGTACAAAGATTCACAAACTGTTTAGGGGTATACGTCCCCCTGCATCCCCCCAGAAAAAAGCACTGTACATATTTGTGTGTGTGTGTGTGTGTGCATTACTGCAATAAAGTTGCTGTGAATCGTGAAAAGTTATTTGTGTGTTCAGACCTTTAAACCTCCCCCTTAAATAAATCCAGACAAGACCCAGATCTTGGCTTGGTTTTTGGCACAATTTAGGCCACAACTTTATTGATCACAGCAAGTGAGTGGTTGCATAAGCTCTGAATCGACTAGCTCCCTGCACCGTTGCAGATAGCACTGACGCAGGGCACCAGCATAGGTCAGCCAAGGGTGAACACCCGGATAAGCGGAAAGCCGGGAATGGGCTATCTCCTCCAGCCAAATGCCCCCCTGGACTTAGGCACGGGCACAACCCCCTCACAGGTTTGATCACAACATTGAGTCCCTGGATTCCTTTAACAGAATACCCTTCACATAGGAATGGCGAGAGTGTTCTCCCATCCCTATCACCTGAACCAGAGCCTATCCGTAACCTTACCAGTTGTGACAATTTGCTACATGGCAGGAGAAACCCAAATGGTACCAGCCAATCAGCCAAGTGGGGAAATTCATGCCATGCCCCTGTCCCAATGACAGAAGACACACAACGGCATAGCAAGGTCAAGCGCACAGCCCTAAAAGTAGGGAGAGGTGGGTGGGTGTTCCGAATGCACGGGCTGAAAGAGGAAGCTCTGGGTCATGTGCATAGGTATATATAGGTCCCTTGATCCGTTTAGGCTGCGTCCCATTGGCCTGATCAAACCCTACATCAAGGGACCTACCAATCGGGTGTTGTGGCTATCCAATCGTACCCACCCACAACACAGGGTTTGGTTGCCAGGTCTCACTGCAACACGTGCCCTCTTTAAGGGAGGACCTGATTTACACTATTGGGAAAAAGCAACACTGAAGAGGTAGGTTTTACAGGTTCACTTGAAAGCTGGTCCTGTAAGGGCTAACTGAAAACCAGTCAGAAGGCAAATGGCAGAACTGGGTACTCTGGTGAATTTCAAGTGCTGCAAATATTTATTTCCGCTCTAAACAGGAGGCAGCTTAGTAGGAGAGGTGTTTGCTGATATTGCTTGTGTCTGTCGCCTCAGACAGGATGGCTATGCTAAGATGAAGAGAAAAGCTCAGATCCTATGAAAAATTCTACATATGAGCAATTTCAGCCAAGTGACAATGAGCATTCACACTTTACATTGTGGGTGCCCTTTGTGGGATCGCGCATGGTGCTACAGTTCCCAGGGAGCTTACTGGCAAACAGGGTCTGGCTTGCCTCTCAGTGTTAATTTTTGGAGGTTCACGCTCAGCCTGAGCAATCAAGTTTCTTGCTGGGAGGTGGGGCCAGCCCCATTTATAAATAGGGGATGGAGCCGACAATAGCCAGGCAGTCGGCTCTGGAGATTCACCCTCCCTACCCTCCCTTTGTTGAATGTTTCTTGTTTGCAGGTTAACTTTTTTTTCCTGCTTAGTGGGTACTGCTACAGTCTTTGACTGGTTGATGTTGAAGGACCGGGAAGAAATTTCCCTGCATTAGCAGGTTTTGTCTTCCCCATAGCAATTTGCCACAACTTTGGCGGTTATGGCCTTGGGTGGAATCCTTGAGTCCTTTCTTCCCTATATGGGGGGAGGGGGCGTGAAGTGGTGACTCACCCCCCTGCGGCAGCGATTCCAGGGTCCCCCTCTTAAAGGGGTTATATATATGGATGTCACAGGCCATACACTGAAAGGTTGTCAGTGAACTACCCTGCATGCCGGGATATGGGCTTGGCTGCCTGCTACACTTACATCTCGCAGAGCACCCCCATATCCTATTTACCCTGATGAGCCCAGTTCCCCCCAGTTGGGGGGCTGGGAGGGGTACACGCCCAAGGCCTAAGTCAAGGTCTTCCTACATTCAGAAGTTTGATAAAGTTGTGGGCTAATTTTAATTCCATAACACGTTGTCAGAGTCTTTATACCTTCCTTATGATCCCTGGGGGCTGGGGCTGTCGCCACCCGGTTCTCGCAATATTAAATCACCGGTGAAGAGAAAGCATAATAAACACAAAGCAAAGGGGTGGAACACTTCAGCCTTGAAGGCCAAATGTGGCCACTCAGGTCTCTCTGTAGGCCACGCTTCTAACAGGCTGTGCCTTGCTTTCTCTTTGAATGATAAGTGCCTCTTACTTGCCCAGATAGAGGACAGAGGGGTGTGTCAGTGTATGTAGAAACAAGACAGGTAGAATTTACTTATGTTGCTTGAATCCTGAAGCATTCAATATCCTTTGCACCGCCCCTCATTTTGCAGCAATAAGGAGATGCCTGCTCAGAGGCTGGAGAACATCTGCTCAGTGACAGCGGCTGCACATCTTGGGCTGCTCTTACCTGCAGAGCTAAGAGAAGGTCGAGCAAGGTAAGCCACACGTTTTCTAGTCGTGTTAAAACCTCAGCAATCTTCATCACACGTTCAGTGAAAAGAGCAGGCCTGTCTTCCAACTAGCTGCAGGGCAAAGGCAGGAAAGGAAGCATTGAGACACTTCTGAAATGAAAAGCAGTTAACTGGAGCAGTTGTGTTGTTGATGGTTTGGCGAGTGGTCCACATGTCTGTAACAATATGTACTTCCTGCTTTGAGCTTCCTTGCAGGCTGACTTAACCTTTCCCAGCCGTGCGTCACACATTTTTCGGAGACTTGGGCAGGAGGAGAAAAACAGCTCACTCAAGATTTGGTCATGGAGAACTGCTTAGGTATGTGTTGTGTAATAAATGCGTCTTGAAACACACATATAGCAGTAGTTCTCCATTGCAGAATTCCTACTTTGTTTTTCTTGGTTCTTTGCACAGGGAATATATATTTTGTTCTATTTTTACCAAATGACTCAGACCAAAAGGACTTTAGGCTACAGTAGCTTATGCCAGATGTTTGGTTCAAGTACTTGTAGGGTACAAAGCCCTAGGAATCAGGCAGCAATTCTTTCTTCACTTCAACTCCTCATCTCAGGGATACCTGAGGGAAACAAGGATTTTCCCAAACCTAAGCCTGGTCCTACCAGGCCCTGTCCAAGGTGTGGTGGACCAGCAAATGCCCCACCCTCATTTCTCACCAGATGTTAAGAGCGGGTGGGTTTGGGGGGTGGGTGGGATCACAGCAAGCAAGCAATGCAAGGGGAGGGAGCAAGTTTTGTTTTGGAAATGTTCTATGTGATTTTAAAAACTTTCTGATGAGATCGTTGTAAGCTACACTGGGACTTTATGGCAATGGGCAAGTCAGAAATCTTCCAACTAAATGCATAACTAGGCAGGTGAATAAATTGGTGGGGGGAAGCGGGCAGGAGAGGGGGACAGAGTGGGCCAATTGGTAGGAAGGGCTGAGCAGGGTGGGGAGGCGAGTGAGTGATTAGGGACAGAGGGAGAGCGAAGAAGATGGAGAGAAGAGTAGGGCAGTTGTGGGGCAAGTGAGAAGGGCGACCAAACAAGGTGCAGAGAGAGTGGGCAAACTGATAGATACATCTGGAGGAGAGTCAGTGAGAAAGTCAGATGGGCAGAGGCTGCCACTGATTCTGTGTTCCCCTCCAATCTGCCTTCTGATCCATGAGGCTCACTTTGCCTCGTGACAGAGCTGGCCCTACAAGAGAACAAATGGCTCGGCAGCTTGTGACGGCCAAATGCAAACAATTCATTGCAGACATGAAAACTTACACTTACACTCCACACTGTGGACACTCCACACTGTGGACAGAGTGCATGCAGCTGAAAGTGTGTTTAAAAATAACTAACAACCTTCTTAGGTATTCTGTTGGAGTGAAATAGGCCTCTGTCGTCATTAAATTTGTATCTTATCTGCCCCTACAAAATGTGGTGATTATGCAATTTTTCTTTATCTATTTATTTCAAAAGGTTGACCTCATATTTCTTGACAAAGTTGCTCATATAGTTTTAGGGCTGGATGAGCCTGTCAAGTTTAGTTTCTGTAAATTTCTGTCTCCCCCCATCTTAAGTTCAATTCTCACAATTTCCACATCTGTTTGAATCGTACCCATTTTGTAAGCTTTTTGTGTGCATCCTTCCCCTAAAATGCACATTTGTGTACTCTTTCCAATGGACCCCTCTCTCAAATATGAATTCATGTCCCTCCTTAAATATGCATTTTTTGTGTGAACTGAAACTGCATTGCAAAACGGAGAAGAGTACATTATCTGATTGATAGCTGCATCCCAATCTGCATATAAATTTAGCACTGGGGAAGTTAGGTTGGTTTGCTTTACAATGTAGACCAAACAAATTTCTCCTCCAACTCTCTGTTTGTCCAGTTGGGAGTTTGATGCTGTGGAAAAAATGTCTCTCACCATGCGCTGAGTGAAACTGACAATTGGATCTGGGACTAGAGTTGCTGCTGCATTTTGCCTGCAGTGAAATTTTAAGGTGAAGCTGTGGAATTAAAAGGGAAAGAGCTGTGGAATTGCACAGGAAAGGGGAAGAAAGGGATTAATGAAATTGCTCAGAGGAATCCCCCTCATCCTTAGCTCTTGTAATGTTATCAGGAAGTGCTACCACTATAATGCCTCTTGTTTACTTATGTTGCAACTTGTTCCTGCATGATGTACGGATGTTAACTTCTCAACCTCCGTTCTTGCCAAGAAACTGTCACTGGAAGCAGTTAGCATTAGCACAGCTAGCCACTCAACAAGCATTCTTGTCTACTATAAATATAACAAACACAGGTTGAAGACCTCAAGCTTAATGCCTCACCATAGGTTATGGGGCTGCCTGGCCAGATAGAAGCAATATGGCAATGCCGTGGGAAATGCTTCGTACCATGGGCCCGAAACAGATGAGGGGCACCACTGACTCTCCTGCCTAGATTAATTTGATCCTGGAATAAAATGTCTAACATTTTGCAACAGCTGAATTACATATTCTCTCCACCCAATTAAAGGTGATGAGGACAGATCCATGTGTTTAATCATGGAGGCGACCCACGGCGGAAGGGGCAAAGGTCACAGGTCCAACCCCTGGCTGGAAAAGACCCCTCTCTGAAACCCCAGAGAACCGCTACCAGTCAGTTGTCAGAGACTGGCTGGACACAGAGGAATAGTGGAAGAAACCAGCTGGGGAACCCCCAAGGGAAACAAGCTCAGAGCCTGGGGATTGGTGGTGGGACAATGATGAGTGATTAGCAGGAGAAGACTGTGAGGAGAATGGGAGGAAGGGAGGCCAAGAAGCAGAGATAAGTCATGGGTGTGTCTCCCCCTCCTGCTGCGACAAGTTCCCATCCCGCCTTGTCTCCCAGAACCAGAAGAGGCATGAAAAGGGCAGTCTCCAATTGCTTGGAAAAAGCCCTGGAGAGGAGGGGGACTTAGACAGCTGTGGGGACTGATGCATGGGGCAAAACCTACCAGGGATTAGCTGCTGTGCTCATTAGGTAGGCCCAGCACTCTGCCAAGTTTGTGCAGATCTTGCTCATGCTAATAAAGAGTTAACTCGAACTTGAAAGGTGTGATTTACGGTCAGCTTGCTCCTGTCCTCAGTATAGCCAACATCGAATCAGATGAACCAATGGACTAACACTTTAAAACTCCATTTCCTGCACTCCATTTAGAAAGCGGTGGTGGTGGGGATTTGATTTCAAGAACAAATGAGGTGAGCAGAGCAGGGAACGAAAAGGAATGCTAAACCTTCCCAGCAATGTGCTCCTTGACACGACTTTTCCCTCAGCCAAACTCTGATGCAAGAAGGAAGCATTGCTTGCAGAAAAACATTTGGGGAGATGGGATGAATGGTTTAGCACTGTTTGCTATCACACCCACTTTGCCCTTAAAATTGGAACAATCCTTCACTTTCCATTTGATTGGGGCAAAATATCTGCTACAATCATGTCTAGCGTGGCCCTCAGTCAAAGCAGTCAGGTTTCTTGGTTTCCTTTAGGGGCCAAACTAGATTGTACATAAAAGGCATGGTTGCCTTTCATATTTCTGTTTGGTGGTTGTTTTAGAAAACACAACTGTAGTGTGTGTGTGTGTGTGTGTGTGTGTGTGTGTGAGAGAGAGAGAGAGAGAGAGAGAGAGAGAGAGATTAGGACTGAAATCATGGTGCTCAGTGAGTGTTTTTTCCTAACCTTTCCACCTTTATGCTGATGAAAATCACCAAACAAAACTATTTCCCGTCTTGATTTTTTATATTGAATGGGAGCAGACAGAGAAATAAGCAACCAAAACATGGCTCTGACGTTGCATAATGAGTTGTTTGCTTTGTTCATCCACACACCATGTGTATGACAGGAATAATTTTCTGTTTTCTAACAAAGTTCTATCCCATCCAAATTCTCTTGGCTTCTACCTCCCGCCATCTGGCAGAGGTTTATAGAAAACTCCATCAGGTCCTGAATGCTTGTGCTCTAAGTGGCAGATCAAGGACGGATAGATATCCTGCTGCTGAATTTCTTTATAGCATCCTTCACCAACCTGGTGCCCTCCAGGATGTCTAGAACTACAACTCCCATCAGCCCACACTTTTGTATTCTGAATGTGTGAAAACAGAAACATGGAGGGTTTGTTTCACATGTTGCATTCCATGCAGTGAACAAGGTTGTCTGAAGCAAATTTCTTCATAACCAAAAGAGGAACCTCCTTCCAAAACATTCCACATTAGGGTATAGACCAGGTGAGCCTGAATCCAGCCAACATAGCCGTCTGTTCCAGGATATACCAGGCAATACCAAATCCTTGTAGCAAATTTGCATAGGTACAGGACTGCCATGAAAATGTGGGAAGACCTATGTCTTATTCATGGGTCTTCCCACAGTGCTGTAGTGATATTTAAAGACTTTCAAGCACAGCCCTTTGGAAATCTTAACTGCATCCACATAAAGGGTGATTGGGATTATGCTGGTTGCCCACCCCTGTATATCAACTGTTGATGAGGTACCAGTTGATCAGGCGAAATAGCAGAGATGGGTCCAACACAGAAGATAACACCAAAAGGTAACACAACAGAACTTTTCCCAACTCCCCTCTTGCTTTATTGAAACCACTTTTCCCATCAACGTGCTGCCCTCACTTGCTCTACTCAAACTTCGGCCATGATTTAAAACCACTCTTTTCTTCCCATTGTCTCTCTCTGCTTGCTCTTCTCAAACCCACCATTTTCCTGCCAGCATTTCTGCATTTTGGTTTGATCAATTCAAACTTCTACCATTAAAATTTTAGCATTAGCTGTTTTTGCAGCTGCATCACACTGTCGACTCATGCTAAGCTTGTGGTCTGCTTAGATTAGACCCTAGACCCTTTTCACATATACTACTGGCAATCCAGGTGTCCGCCATCTTATATTTGTGCAAAAAGCTGTCGAAAGCAGTGGATGGGTGATGTTTTATGTATGGCAGAGGGATGAGCATTCAACAGTGCAGGGGTAATGGC